CAAGCCACGTGTTTATAAAATTCACTGTCATATGTCATACAACAGAAAACGGTTCTTCCTGAAAGTACACGAACTTTACTGGGTCCTCCTGTAGCACAGGCTTGTACCTTTACTCTGATTTACAATAGATTTATCCAAGATCATTTTAGTAAGAGCTGTTACGGCAACATGTATTCAGTTATTTTTTCAAAACCCAAGCTCTGTGTTTGTAAATTTTTCAGTCACGTCATATGAGACAGAAACTGAGTAAACGTGCATGCATGACCTCATTGGGTCGCCTTATGTGTAGCAGGTTTATGCTTATGAGTTTTAAGTTATTCAGGTAACTTAATCATGTGGAATTATGTACAAAAAGTTCATGACAGTTGACACATCTTTTATACAATTTATGTCTCATTACCTACGATATAAAGTAGCTTTATATTAATTAAGTTGTAGACCCCAGTTGATTGAAAAACGTTGAAATACGTTCATTATATATATACATCTAGTTGAGCCAAAATTCACATAAACATTATTATTATTATTATTGTTATTATTATTATTATTATAGATAAAAGTAGTCAAATAGTTAAAGTGTAAAAGAAAATGAATAAATGAATGAATATTAAGAAATGTATAAACAAATATCAATACAAATAAAATGTGATATACCCCAGTATAAGTCAAACATACCGTGTATGTTCTTTGTTACTACTTTCTTTTCAGCCAAAACACATGACCGACCTTGGATATAAAGAATCAGAAGCAGAATACGTGATAACATGCATGCGGCCCCCCGCAAGAAAATGCAGTAGTATCGAAGTAGCAAAGAAGCAGTAACGCAGTAGTGGTGTGGAGCATATTTGCAGTAGAAATGCAGTATAGCCTACTGCAATTCTACTTCAAAAATTACATAGGGTTGTACAGAGGAGGAGCATAAATGCAGTAGATTAGCAGCATGATAGAAGCATGTTTCAAAGATGCTAATTAGCTCCCACATCGAAGCAGATTTGAAGCATGTTTGCAGTATGATTGTAGTAGTCTACTGCGCTGGAGTATCTACTTCGTTTTCGTGCAGTCCTAGGAATCATGGGCATGGTTGGACAATTGTTTTTCTCCTGGGTCGGAGACTATCTGAAAGGGAAGTTACTGGTGGTGAACTTGGTGGCAGCAGCTTTGCTCGCAATTAATAATATCATGGCGGCATATTCGACATCATTAACTGGTGCGTTTATATACAGTGCCGGTAAGTATTCTTTTATTTTAAAATGAGGTTTATGAACGGGTTGGTCCACCATGTTCTTTTCTTTCTTATCTTTGTGGGTTATGTCACTTTATCTGTAATAATTTAATACTTTATTCATCGAAATGTTAATTAGGAAACAAACAGTAATTCATATTAATGTATGTTTACACAGCAGGGTTTTGTTCGAATGATTACTACTGTTAATAAAATTTCAAAATTAAGTAGAAATTTTAATAGGGTTCTAGCTGGTAAAGTTTTTATCAATGTCTTTTGGATTTTACAGTATGATTTGAAGGTCTGTTACCTTAATTTCATTATGATTCTAGGACAATTCCCCCCGGACAATCCCCCGGTCGCTCCCCCCCCCAAGAAAGATATATTTATATACAAATGTAAATTATTGTTAAGTTCAAAAGATTTCATCAAATTTATTAATGTTTTTAGTGTGATAGTACAACTTCATCATTAAACAAATTACTTTATAACAAATTCATTTTCGTTGAGTACAAGTACAGAAACATAACCACCTATCCTCCATGTAAAGGTGGGGAAAACAAATGAACAGGTAAACAGATATTCTAAGAATATTTTCAGTGTGCAGTAATGGGTAGTGGGTAGGTAGGTAGTAGTCAAGCAATACAAAGTGACAGATAGTCAAAGGGATACCTACTGTAGATAAGCGGGAATCTGTTTACCCCACCTCTCCCGAGAGATGCACCTTGATTCAAGGCTTACTAAATCAAGGAGGGAGTAACGAAGCAATTAAAGGTAACAGATAATTCAACAAGGGGTTACCTGAGAGTGAGATCATCTGTTTACCCCACCTTTACCTGATCAAATTTAAAATAATTTGTTAAATGAAAATAGCATTCTCTATCCTCGAGTTGCATCATCACACTAAGAAATATCAATTAAATGGATGAAAAGATTTGAACATTATACTCTTTTCTTTTTATTTGTACATAAATATATATTTGGGGGGGGGGGGAATTATCCTATGGAGGATTTTCCTGTTACCTTACATTATCTATCAAATATCGAAACAATATTTTAGTCTCAGGTCTGGCTTTTGGTCCATATAATGCCGGCTACTATGCTGTCGCCAACGAAATCATGAACGGAGAGAACGTTGACGCGTTATTCCTTACTTTGCGGTTCAGTACAGGCGTTGGAGCAACTACAGGCCCGTATTTGGCAGGTAGATTAAGGCCGTCCTGGGCGTGTATCTGAATACACCTTAATCCGTTTGCTCACTACTACATGTACTTCCGTCCTTTGGAACATACCATGTATCCTTTACACTATTTGTACGTTACAGAGTCTCATTAACGGTAAAACATCCTATTATACCGAACTCGCGCAGGCTGTACATGATGACTGTTGTAATTATAAGATATATATACATGTGTTTATAATACAGGTTGTTATTTCCAGCAATATTATTATTATTATTATTGTTATTATTATTATTATTAATTTTTCATATGTGCTACATGTTGTCAGGGTGCTTTATAAGAGCTGTCTCACTTTTAATCAAACGAATTTCCAGTTTTCCTATTCTATTCAATTTGATCTCCAAATGTTTATAATTAGGATGTTTTACGATACCAGAGTGTGTCAATATTGAAAAAAAAGTGTAATTAATATTTTATTTACTGTGGTCCCTGACAATGAACATCGTTTTTTTTTTTTTTCATATGTTCTTTTATTGAACATCCTATTATGCTTCAGGTTATATTCGTGACGTCACAGGAAGTTACTTCGCAGTGTTTCTGGCTATTGCGTCATGCTTTGGTGTGTTCGTCCTAGCATCAGGTGCTATTATATTTATCAACAAATGGAGGAACTTGCGAAGTTTAGAAGTTATGAGGAACAGTATCAATCCTGAGTAAATACTACACAATCAAACACATTATTATTGTCTTGGTATTCAGACTGAGGCAATCAAAAAAAAAAAAAAAAAAAAAAGAACGATGACAAAAATGAACATGCGGACAACCGCTACAGTTTAAAATGAATATGAACAGTAATTTGATAGAAATTTGAAAGAGAGTGTCTTGTAATAGAGGAAACATTTTCATTAAATAAAACCAGCAAGCACGAATACAAAGTTGAAACATTGAGAGATATGAAAAACATAAAACTGTCACTTAAAATTTAAAATATTCATGCGATTTAATAAATTTCCAGTACATTACAGGTGTATTTCACCAGAACAGCATATTTATTTAGATAGGGGGTTACTGAAACATAAACTTTGGTCACTGTACGAACTGCAGGTTATGCCTGTTGTATCGAGCTGAACTGGATTGCGTTATGCACTAATTATAAGTCGTACACGTAATGCCCTATATCGGGCCCACGCTTGAATAAAGCGAACTAAATTCATACAAGTTTAATTAGTACATTCATTCCATGTGTATAAAAAGGTGGACAACGGTGTGTAGAAAAAACAGAAACCACTGACATTTTGCCCCCAAATCTTTCAGTTCTATTGGGCCTCTTCAGGCTTTCGAAGTCTCTTATGTTTCCTTCCAATTCCCATTCCCCATAGTCATAAGACGATCTGCCTATCCATAGCAATCACGGTGGATCTTCCATTATGCTAAGGGGGGTTACTATAATTCGTTAGGCATATGGGTAATACTGACCGCTTTTGTCTCGTTCATTTAGTCATACAGTTTAATGGGAGTGGGAGGGATGGAGGGAGGAAGGGAGGAGTTAACCCATAAGGCGCACTTGGCCAACTTCCCTTCTCCCTCGATCCACCATCAGAAATGTTATTTCTACTGAGAGCAACGAACGGTGATTTTCACAGCGTCTTGGTGTTTGGCCTTCTTCATCTATTGATGATCATGATCTATAGTCTTCCCATCATGTTTGGATTTCACATCGACCTCTAAGTGTTGCTCCTATTTTCATGACATCCACATTGTTTTTATTCAATTTCAGCAAACACCCCAAGGGTAGAAAAGAAAACCAAATATATGCTAAGATTCGGATTACACAAAAAGAAGTAGTACAATGGAGGGACTTCCTTGTTAATATTTTTAAAAAATAAGTTGTGTCTCAGCGTTCGATCGGAAAAAATGCATTTTATTCCCAGAGCAGGAAGTGAAATGTGTGTGTTTTCTACGGGATACCTATAAATAGGCCGTTCCATATTTATAAATGTCTTGTCTTCGACTTTTCCCCCGGTTTATTGTGTGATATTGTGTGGATGATATTTCATCCTATAGACGTTTCGCTTTTTTAATTAAAATGTATTCCTTTTCTTTTAGCACAAAATCGACAGTAGATCAATAATTCAACTGGATTGCAGACTTAAGTAAAAATATAAAGCAGTTTTGTGGCATTGCCGTCATAAAGTAGCGTGACGCTAATGCTTGCTTCTCTTTTTTTTTGCAACCAACTTCACCAATGATACTAAAATGTCTGCGTTGCAAATAAGAAAGACAGACTAGAGAAATACTTTGTGAAATAATACGTGAACCAGAAAAAAAATGAAACTGCATATGAAATATTACGTTTTAATAATTTCACTCTGCCTTGCATTTTATCCGGATCACGGAGTCGCGGTGACAGATGCAACATACTGGCGAAAACCTGGTGTTAGACTGGTGAACGGCGTTGGTGGCGGTAAACAGCACATAGTACATACTGTAGGGGGTTGCACTCTCCTCTGCCTTGGCCTCACCCCTGCCGCCTGTAGATCTGTGAACTACCATAGCGGGAGCAAGACATGTGAAGTGAACGACAAGGCTGACGGCGATGTTGATGGTGTAGGTCTCGTTGCGGACGGTGACTGGGACTATCTATATTCTGAAGTTGGTAAGTCTTAATGTTTATATACGTGGTTGATTTATTTACAGTCGATTCTAAATGACTCTGGAACTTTGGAACCGGGTAATCTGAATAAGGCACGCGTAAATTCGAGTACTAGTAATATTCATAAATTAAAACTTACCTTTTAGCAAAGTCACATCCTTTACAAGTTGCAACTGCTTAACGTAATTAACATAATTTCATTAAAAAGGCGACGAATTATACGAATTAAGTATACTGTACATACATGTATGATTCCATTTAAAAGAATTGCTACCCCTGATTAGTTGGAAATATGTCGAAATTTGGAAGTCTTTATATTGCTTTATTTTTTCACTGCATACTACTGCGTGTAATAGCAGAGTAAAACTCGCCGTGAAGTCATTGCATTATTAACTTAATATTCTCAATTTATCATTTTTGATTTGAGGAAGAGGTTGGGAGGGAACGAAAGTTTGATTATGACATTCTGCTTGTTCCTGCATGCTTAAAAGAGACCAACACTTTTTACAGTCCCATTAGCTTCATGTTCAGCATGGCAACAGATTAGCAGCACGAGCGGCCTATATCCAGTTGATCCAGACGGCACCGGGGCTGCGAGCGCTTTCAATGTGCATTGTAATATGTCGACGTCTCCAGCCACGGCGATTTTCCACCACGATCAGGAGTCAAGGACGCATGTTGACGGCTATAAAGACGCTCAGTCCTACTCCACTGCACTGTCATATGGACGTGAGTATAGTCTCTGTTATATCGGTGTGGCGGAAATGGTACCTTGCCAGAAGTTGAAAATTGGCTCAGATGTGGACAATTTTTTTTTCTTTTGTTTGTTGTTGTTTGAAGTGTTGTAAGGTGCACTTGAACGCTTTAATCAAGACAAAGAAAAATGCGTACGAGAAGGTTTCTGTTCTAGCAAATCTGATATATTTATGTGATATATATACAGTTGGAGCAAATTACCAAGTATTTGGATAAACATGTAAATGAGCCAAGGGTCTGATGCATATATATCGGTATAGGATACGAGGAACATAACTTTTTTCAGTAAGCATAGAGCAAATGGCTGCGTATGTGGACAGGGAAGGAATCAGTTGTTCCCAGCACATGAAATACGAATGCAAGGGCTCCGTCATCTTGAAAAGTGGTACTATCTACAGTGCATGGTATGACCGGAGTGGACAGCAGGCGCCATTTTGGGCTGGAGGAGATCCCAGCGGCGCCATGGGCAACTGCGCATGCTCACGAGATGGAACTTGTGAAGATGCAGACATGAGTGAGTTCATTTATCATATTGTAATATTGGGACTGTACGTGTTAGAGGCTTTTTTTACAGTAAGAAATACATTTAGTAAAACCGAGTTGAAGTTCATAAAGTACATTTCATTAATTGAAAAATTGCACGTTTCGGTTTCTGAGAACGATTGCCAGGTTGCTAAAACACCACTATATGGATACCTTGAAGTAAAGTTACAGTGCTTAACAAAATCTATGGTTATTTTTGTATTACTTCTGAATATATATTGTTCTGGTTCAATGTTACACACACACACCGTTGTAATTTTTATCACCATATGTCCGTTTAATAACTGCAGACTTTTGGAATGCATGCATGTATCAGAAGACCTGCCTTCCTATTTTGGTTGAAGGTTTTGTGGCGGGTCACCGCCTCTGCCGTGGTCAAATGAGTGATTATGGGTCTGTTTATAAAATATGTGTTTATATAAAACCCCATTAAAGAAATCCCTGCATTGGATATTGCCACTTACCTAGAATAAAACCAAAAAAAAAAAAAAAAAAAGCGCCACGAATGACCTAAAGAGAACTGTTCTACATGTACAATTAACTATTTTTCTTTCAGACTGCAACTGTGACGTAGAGGACAACAACGAGTGGCGATCAGACGAGGGCGTTATCACCGAGTCCAGTTACTTACCGATAACCAGGGTCACGTTTGGGGACACGGGTGGATCCGAAGAAGGCTACCACACCATCGGTCCACTGGTCTGTGAAGGATAATTGGAATATAGCCTAACAGTAAAGACAGAGAGCCACTGAGTTGTATGATTTTGTGTTGAAGATTTTATGTGTGTTATTTAAGTTGATATTTGGTTAAAGTTATTCTAAAACATCATGTTTAGACATACAGTTGTAAGCGTAATTTCCTTTATGTCATAAGCGGTGTTTTCATAAGACACGCCCCTCTAATATTGTATATATGTTTAGACTGATGCTTCGCGGTTCTGGATAAAAAAAGTCTAAGGAGGGTTTACTCATACTGGTCATCTCTCTTCTGTTGGCTCTTCATTGTCATGTTTATACAGCTCTTTTTGGAAACCAGTCGATCGATGACAAAAGTTCGCCAAATGGCACTTTTTTTCGGAGTCACAAATCATCTAGCTGGGCGCCTTAATTATGTATACATTTAACTATCCTAGCTAACCCAATTTGTGCGAATAAAATAAACGTTGTGTAAATAATGTATAGACTATATGTAAGTCAGCGATTTTTGTCACACTTTTACAGGGTATATAGGCACTTTGTCTATACAATTTATATATTCTGATAGCTGCATCTGTCAGTTGGCGCTCTGGCAGTCCAACACGTTATTTTGCCTGAGATTGCAATACCATCTTTAAATATATTGATATGAGTGGTTTTAACTGATGCCTGTTTATTTGCCAGCTTTACTGTCTGGTTATTATTCCGCTTGTATTAAATACATATATAAAGAGCATATGTGTTTGCAAGTTATATCCAGGGCAACGTTGGTTAAAACTGTTTATTGACACCGACTCGTTTCTCAATCAACAAGGTTTTACTTGAAAAGAAGTTCGTCTCTACCACGTCATGTATACAAAACCATACCAATGCTGTTCCAGATATAAACCTGTGTGTTTCTACTTTTCGTTTTCATTTCATTATATAAAAGAAAAGCATGATAAGGAGGTTGATTTATAGAAAATATTCCCTGCCGCTTTGTGCACTCTAAGGGTGTATTCCCAGAGATTTAGATCGATCCAGTGATTAAGATTTAGATCGACCTAACTCCCTGGGGGTTCACGCAAAATTGCAGTCCGCCGAGCGCGCACCATAGTTAATTACCCCCTTACAGCTTTCAGTAGGCGGGACAGACGCTTAAGCCCGCTAAGCTGACAGTAATCTAATGAGGCTCCCCACAGGGATAGATCGATCTAAAATCTATGGAAATGGGGTCTAAGTTGCCACTTAACCATTTAGATCTATTTTTACAATGTAGATTAGGTCAAACAAAAAAGGTCATTGTCTTCCAGTACAACACATCTTATTATTTCACTTTAACGGATTTGCCAATGTATCGGGATATATAGTAGTCAAATTGTTTAAATAAAAAAAAAAAAAAAAAAGAACAAAACAAAACAACAAGGCTTGTCAAGTTCTAAATTAGATCGGAGTCAAATTCGTCAGCTTCAATTTCGCCATCCTTGTTTTCATCCATGGCATCAAACTTCACTTCAAAGATATGAATCCATCACTAAAAAAATATAATGAGATTTGACCACATTTAAGGAATTGCATAAATTGGCGAGATTATTTACTGAAGAAAAATTGCCATTACGGTTATATTCCATCGGTGTTAAATTCGTACAGGTTAATTTCAATTCGCAGTAAAAATCATTTATAAATATTTTAGGTTAAAATCAAATGTATTAAAACCTTCCTACATTTACATATATTACCCATATTTTATGAGAAATATGTCCCGTATCGGCCTTTATTAGTGACGGTCACTATATTTTTTCAAACTACACGCTATAAAGAAAAAATCTCACCCGCCTACGAATACATCGTTTGCGTCAGCACCCGTAAGAGGTCTTGAAAGTTCCCTTTTTCTGTCATTACAAACGCAACGCCCGGTTAGATACCTGACAATATATATATATATTGATGACCCTGTGATGTAATCAATATATGATGGTAGTTCCATATATATATCGACACTATATATATCGATAATCAATTTTAATTTAAAAATCGTTGGGTTACTGCGAATAGAAAGCGACTACAGACTGATTTTAAGTTTCTTCATGACAAGTTTAATATCAACGCTTAAGGGTACATTCTTAGGAAAGCAAACTGCATAGAAATTCAATAAGATTTTCAAAAGCAATGGCAGGACTGCATGCACACGTGGATCTACGGTAGCTCAGGAAAATAACGATATGTGCATCAACATTTAAATGAAATAGCCTTTCTTTTTTGGACTCTGAGCATAAATAAAAGTTATTAAGGCTGCACAGTTGACATCAAGATATCCACTGTCAGTCAAATCAGTAGATTTGCGTTCCATGCGAAAACGGAGTACGTTTACTTGATGCAACAGCACCATTGAATGGACACACTAATAATGGACAGGGCTATCAAATTAATAATGCCGCTTCACTTCAGCTTTTGTCACCATCTGCCTGCGCCATCGAAACGCGAGCAATTTTCCCATGCGTTAGTGAGATATGATAGAGTGTGATATGTATTCGCAAGAGATACGGATAACGTACCAAAGTCCTGGAATGGAGCACAACGGAAATGCAATAAAACATTTTTCATGTTCAGGTAAAAATAAATAAATAAATAAATAAATAAAACAAAAACTTACACAGTCGTTGGGTTACAGCTTTCTTTGCACCCTCCCTGGCATGCGCAGCCAAATATATTGCACTTCCCTTTGCCACAGTAATTGAATAAAGGCACCTGGAGAGGGCAAATAAAACGTAAAGCCTATAGTTTTGTGCGTTGGTAATTTTTTTTTAAACTAACATTCATAGGTGTAACATTATTCCAGAAAAATGGCCGTTTGATATAATGACTTCAAAAAGAGAGTGCATTAATCTATATTTCATGTTAAATAGTACAAATTTCTCATCAGCGTTTTCTCATAGCATTTTTGTCTATCGCACATTCTATACATGTGCCCACTGTTTGATGATTGGGTATTAATCTTTTACTTAACCGCCTTCATCATGTCACTACCTCCATTGCCATGGAAATACGTTATTAAGACAATTATTTTTCTCCGTTTAGTTAAATGAGGTCTACTTTTATGAATGATTAAACCTACATGTCATTGATAAAAATAATAATAATTATAATAATAATAATAATAATATGTATCTATTTGCAACTTAAAAAAGTTGGATTTTACAATTAAAAAAAACAACAAATAGTGGTGAGATGCACATTATTAAAATATACTTTTAAATGCTAAAAAATGAGTCAAAAAGTGCATGACAAAGAGTCAAGCAGTGCAACTGATGTAAAGTAACAATACATGTATCTACAATAAAACATTACCCAACTGCAGTCCGCACAATATCCTCTACCAGTCGCGTGACAACACTCGGCTTGGATGTCTGCTATCATCAGGTTTATCAAGAAGACGGTAGCAACAAAGTTTGCAAATACCGCAGCCATCTTTTTCAGCGCAAAAAAAAAAAAAAAAAAAAAAGAAGATAAAACACAGCACGTTATCTTCTCGATATAACTAAAAAATCGAATTTTTTAATTCCACTAAAAAATTAAAACGCCTTGGATTGTTCTACCTGGAAAACATTGAAGGAAAACAACGTCGATCTATAACAATGAAACGATTTTGTTCACACAAAGGATTGGCAAACATTCTAAGTACATTGCATGTTTACAGTATTGCCTCTTTTGTTAAAATATGTGCATGGATTAGTCTTAATGTATTTGTCTCAACATTATTCCTTGGAGGTGTGAATGCTGCTGCGTCAACTATATGAAAGTCCAACGGCAAAATGTTACCGGTGCCAAAAAAAAAAAAAAAAAAAAAAAAAAAAAAAAAATATATATATATATATATATATATATATATATATATATATATATATATATAACCCTATAGGTCTGCACATAACTATCAGCATGATTTTATGACTTCCAGTAATACATCAAAAGAGATACCGTGAATAACATGCTGATGTCAAAAGCAATGCTATGTTCCAACCAGCATCGATAAAAAGCACAACGCGCTCGAAATACAATCTTCTCTAAAAAGTAAGATTTATGTTGTGAAGCTGAGTGGATGACCCGTTTTCACCCATTCACCTTGAAAATGGTTAACTGGGTAATTTAATTTAGACATGATTCCTGGTCATTTTGGTAATATACTGATTTTTTTCGCCGGCAATTGACATCCATTTGATATGCAGGTACTCATGTTTTTTGTTAAATTAAAACCTAGAATTTTATTGATTAATTTATTTATCTATTTTGTAAAAAAAAATTTCATAGTCTCTAGAGAGGCTTAAAAATAGATTTATTCTTTCCTAGGAAACTTGAGTCAAATACGACACCTCACGTTTAAACTACACGAAAGGTCAAGAATTCTGAAGTGCAATCTTGTTTCTTTAATATATAGCCTCGCTTGTCAACACACGGGTTAATATATGCGTCAGGTCAGGGTTAATATATGCGTCAGGTCACGTTTAATATATGCGTCTTGCCACCATATCTTGTGAAATTTGAAATTTGTTGAATAAACTGACGCTTAATTATCACCCACATCGTCCTCCGGTGAAATATTATCGACAGCCTGTGATGAGATATTTTGCTGCAGGACTATGGAGACTCAACTGCCAGATTATTATGATAATGTTCATTAATAGATCAAAGGAACCAAGGTGAAAGGAAGAAACAACAAAGGTAGAAACACAATTGTCAGTATTGCTCCAAAACTTTTGTTCTTGTGAATCCAGTTACGCCTGTCAGCTACGTCTTCAACAGCGAAGCGTTCATATTTGTAAATATATATTTTATTTGATACAAGCATATTGCGTTGATATCCAGAAATAAGCAAATAAATGAAAATAAAGATAAATGATGCAATGAATAGTATCTTACTTCGAAAATCATCTTGGCCCATTCATACAATAAAACAGCGCTATATTCCAAACGTAAGCAATAAAAAGCTACAAATTCATAAAAAGCAACAAAAGTAATAATAAAAAGATGAGGGTAGGATTAGATTTATTCTTACTGATTACGAAGAAATGCTGCGAAAATGATTGATAAATATTTCAAAGAAATTAAATAGCTAATCAATCAATAAACCAGTATATCAGGTGGTTTTCTAATATTAATCACATATGCAATATGGTATTAATAAGTCAATTAATTAATTAATTGGTTGATAAGTTACTTAATTTATTCTTTAATTAAATATTCTCTACCGAATTCCAGCCTCTTTGTAAGCTATCATACCTGAACTTTTCACAAATTTCCAAAACCCCTACTCAAATTTTTGCATAATGTTGCTAAATTATTAACAGGCTTAATTAAATAACTTATTAATTAATTCATGGATCACCACCAAATTCTTAAACTGTATTACATAGTTTCCGCCTGACAGTTGCATAAATTTTATTCAAAATCCACCAACAACTTTTTTATTATGTTGCTAACAACAGACCTATACCTGATAAATGAAATTCAAAATCTATTTTGTTGCTTTGGCGGAAGTACATACATCTAGAATTAAGAAACATAATAAGGACTGTTGGTTTAAGACCTAATCAAATAATAAATGTTGTATCGATTCATACATTTTGAATAAATTAGAACTAAACTTGTATGGACAGTTAACCGTGTCAGAGCCACATTATCAGAGCCACGCATTCATGCCTGCATGGCTATATAGAAAATGAAACATAACACTAAGCGTCCGAGCCTTGGCTGCACTGTCAATAGTGATGACGAACTAAAGCTTCAGAGTTCTTTTAAATGCTTCCGATAATAAAGATATGCGAAAGAGACTCGTTATTTTTTATATATAAAATCAAAATAGCCAGTAGACTCGTACACAGCTTTCAAGAGTGTGGACAGGTGCGTAGGCCTACATGTACGTCTTCACAATATTACATGTATATATATGCAAGCTGTGGCGATATCACCTCATTTACCGGCAGTGTCAATTCTTTGCGATTTTTATGTCTTGTTTGAAGGATGCATTAAGAGATTTTTGAAGTGATAAAATGAAAAGATTCCCTGCATTGTTTGACCGGTGTCACGTGTACGGTCCGTTCTGCGTGAACCATCCGTCCTGACCGATTGTACATTCAGCAGACGCGTGTATGAGCCGTTCCGTGAATGATCCGTTATTACTCACCTGTACTGTTATATTCGGCTAGTTCATTTCCTACCAAATTATACATTTACTATGATGGGGATAAAGTTCATGTGTTAATTGATAATTTTGATAGAGAATCAGCGTCAAATTACAGCTTGATGCATGGATGAACCTACCATGGACAGGCCGTCGTTATTCAGCTGCTTGCTACCATTTTAGTACTGATTTTACTAGGTTAGTGTGTTGATATGGCCACCTGAGGGAAATCACAGTAGAGGTGAACATCTATAAGATATGAATACTTCTAAATATTATGTTTGAATTTGCAGTATGTTCTCAACAGCGCATGCTTATTAAAGACTAAGAATGTATTCATGACTCTATTGAGACGGACTGTACACGCCGGAAGTCTCTCAGATTTGCCTGCGCTTTGTGCGCATGAGCAGAACGGATTGTTCACGCTCCGAGCGGTACACGCCACACCGGTACCTACTGTGTATACAGGTAAAACTGACGCGCAGATCGTTCGTCGGTGAACTGATTAAATCGTTTGGTACCTGATAAGGCATCAGGTATTACTTGTTCAATTGTTCGGTAAGGGGGGCGGCCACAACTACGACCTTTCCTCTGTAATTAAAACCTTCTGATTTTAAGTGTTAAATAGGTGAGACAGGAAATCTCGAGTCTTTCCCAGAAGATAATTAAAGTTTACCGTGTCTTACTCTAGTATATGTAAAAATTTAGGACAGGTAAAAATTGTCAGAATTTTGGTCTGACAAGTATGAAAATTTTGTCAAACTGAATCAAAACCGTCAGGCAAAAACAAAATTATAGCAAGAGGCCAAATTATTTGATTTTTAAATGTTTTCACGCATATTTTCATCGTTTTCAATCAAAGGCAATAAAATCATTCAAATAAAGTGTGAATTTTCCACACATTTCATACTTTTCAACTATCTAAGATAGCTAAATATACGTAGGCCTACTTTAATACTAAGCATATTTGTATTACTTTACAAATACGTTGTTAGATTATTTTTATTATCCATTTTGTCTTTACCATACATGTATTATGTACGTGTAGCTTACAGAAAGGCTTTTCTGCATTTTTTTTTGCAAATACATGCCCACTGAATTTTCCAATTCTCTTGTCATTGAGTTCAGAAATAAATAACTTTTTATTTTGCCGATAACGCGTTCAACAAGAGCCGATGTACTTTCTTCTTCGTATGTCTCTGTTGATCTTGATATAATTGTACAAATTAGTAATACGTATATGGGACTGGATACATAATAATAAAACATTTATGAACGTCTCACGTTAGAAAAAAATAGAACCCACCCTACTAAGGGTTATGAGAGACTAAAACCTGTGATAGGCCTACTACATTTAAAATGATCACTTATCAATAAAACACACACAAAAAGGGTATTACATATAAAACTTTTCAAACCTTCTCTTTGTTGTTACACAAAAAGTCGTGTAAGTTCTTGAATTTTTTGTAAGTAGAATCCCCGTGTAAAACTTCACAACTTTTACTTTCTTTTTCCATAATCTCATGCTTGAAGTATTTTCTTTATTTTTAGGCCCCGGCCTATTCTTCAATTTTTTCTTCAGATCTTTATAATTTTTTTTCTCGCATTGTTTACTCCCGAGTTCTATTTGCCGATAGTTCGTTATATCCGTTGATTTACTAAGCATTTCTGTTTTTTATTAAAGCGCCGATGATCTCCTAATATTATAGTTTCCTTCCCGCCTTCGAAATGTTCAGCGAAAACGTGGTGCCCTGCTTTTGATCCAAACCTGCTATATTTTTCTTTCTTTCTACCATATTTTTCATTCCAACGGGTTTGTTGGGAACTTATAAAACCTCATGTGTCGATTTCGCTTACTGTTATTGTAGCAGCGGGACAAAAAGCGCGTAAACCCAGCCATGGTTTTTAGCACCGCTGGAAGTGTTTCGACGTAGCAAGGCTCCCCTACCCACAATGCAATTTCATTTCCGGAAAAGATGAAAAAGGTTAATTGGAGGGTTCAGTGGCCCTCAACTCTTCTGTACCTTCATTCGTGAGAATATCGAACGCAATCTCGCTGGGTTACAGTTTATCTCAGGTAAAAATCTGCCCGAGTGTTATTTTCAAAGAGCAGCTCCCGCAACCCTGGGGGCACTAGATAAAATCTGGACTCCAGGTTTAAAAAGGAGCAAGAGAATCAAAGGAAGAATTTTTCCTGTAAAACTTCAAAGAATTTTGACACGGGCTTGACCCAGCTTACCCCTCCAAACTAACACGGTGACATGGGCAATTTTTAAAACAAATAATTAAA